AGTCACGAGGCAGTAGTACAGGTGTCACTGTCCCTGTCTTTGTCTCCACTCTCGCTCTGAGTGCAGAGCCCAGAGGAGAAGGCTGTCTCGTCTCAGCACCCACTTGTACATCATGATGAAGGCAGCCCTTCCCTTCCTTGTCTTCCTGTCCTCTCAGATTAATTATCAGGACTAGATTTCTGCCTGCAGGAGAAGAGAGACCCCTGGAAGAGGGAGTGAGGGTGCTGATTCATGAGCCTGTGAACTGGCCTGGGCTAGTGCAACCCCCACTCCCCTCCCTCACATGAATCCCTCAACACCTTCACTGGGAGGTGCTGCAACCCAAAGAAAGAAGCGCATTCCCTCTCTACCATGAGGGTGGGAACTGAGGTCGGGAGTGCCCGCCTGCTGTCACTGACAGTGCTCTCCTCCTGCCCCACCCCCCATGGCTCTGGTTGCTATGACTCCCATCCAGTGGGTTTTTAAATCCTGCACTAGGATTGTGCAAGGGGAGAGTACAAGGCCAAATGGGGGAAACACCCCATCTTTAAACTAGAGCAGCAGGGTTTCTTGATGCTTGGGGTCCTTGGAGCCTCTATGTGATCAAAGGATTCTGTGGCTAAAAAGGGGGTGCTTGAGATCACTGTAGCAGATCATCTTAGGTGCAAAGCTGACATGGCAAAAGGTCCTGCTGTCACCGGGGATCAGCTTTCTCCCAGCCACGGCCCATGGTGTCCAGTTGCTTCCTCCCACACCTGTGAGGCCTTGGCTGGGTTTTAAATCAGCTTTGAATTTTGCTCCCCAGACCGCTCCCCCATCCTGTACACACACTTGTCTTTGGCAAGGAAACAACAGATATAAAATACACATATGTTCTCACACACAAGCCTGCTGGGTAAACCGGTATCCAGGTCAGTTAAAAAGTTAAACTGTTCTCAAACCTGAACACAATGTTCCTTCGGCCTGGAAGGCCCTTCACCTCCGCTTCTCTCCCTGTTAACTCCTCCATGTCCTTTCAGACAACTCAAGGGCCACCTCTTCGTGCTACTAACATTCAAAGGCCTTTTGGCCGGAAGTCTAATGCTCGACCCACTGCCGGGCCCTGCCTCTAGGACACGTGCTTTGGGACTGTGCACCTGGCAGGCCACCTTAGAATGAGGCCTTCTGGGGAGCTGGTAACTAACCCATCTGGCCGGGGTGTGAGACAAACTGGAGCTGTGATGAGTTCTGCCCTGGTGGAAGTCGCAGAATAGCGTGCACCATCAGGGCAGAGTGGGTTTTCGGCTCCTCCTTGTCCCAGCACACAGAACACTTGCTGGGTTATGTGGTTGAGTCGCTACATAAAGTGAGCATTGGAGGTGACATCTTGCTGATTAGGCAGATCTGGGCCCTGGAGCCCGAACTCATTATTTAGGTGTCAGTTTTAACACCACTGCCCCAGAGTAGCTTTCCCCACATCCCAGAGCCATGTTGGAGCCCCTGTTATCCACCTCTAATCCTCCCTAATGGTCCATGTTAGCAGTTATCACACTGAAATAAAAGGGGTTCTACACTGTTACTGCAAACTTCGTGCTGCCTGGGGTCTCTCAGTGCCAAATATAGTGCTTAGCTTGGACCAGCAGTTGGCGAAATGGTTATATCATTGGACCACCACATGGCCAACCGTGGCTCGAGTCCTGGACCCAGCAGCTTAAAACTCTCACCAGCATGTTTGTGTGCATGCCCAAAATCCCAAAAGGAGAGTAGAAAAGATGAAATTGCAGCGTAGCTACCCCCCTAGAGGGGTGATTTCTTGCTTTCTGTCTCTGTCTCTACAGTGAGCACATGTGCCCTATAGCAAAAATCTGTTAAAAAAATAAATAAATAAAATAAAAACATAGTGCTTGGCATATAATAGGAGGTCGAGAAACTGGTGATGAATATCTCATATGTATGAGCAAACTTGATGAGTGCTCATTAATCTCAGAACCTGTCCAATGTGAGGAAAATGGGGTTACGGGCTAAAATACTGCTTCTTTTGCTCAGTAGTTTTCAACCTGCCTGTGCATCAGAATCACCAAGAGGTCTTGCTTTAGCATGGATTGTTGGACCCCACCCTGGCA